TGGAGTTTTTAATCTCCTGGAATTCTGTTTTCATCTGTTTTACAGATTCCATTTGTTTCCTATGTTGAGATTCCATTGTGTTCCTCAGCTCCTCTGTAGATTTATTAATCATATCTTGCACTATGAGCACAATCTCTGCTGTTATCTGAGAAATTGCAATGTCCTTATCTTCAAGGACAAGATTTTGGAACCAAAAGAATATTTTACAGGCCTCTTTTTTTAAAAAAATACCTCTTACTTTTTAAGCTTCCTCAACTAATTTAATCACATTTTCAGTTGACTATTGTATGTTCACTTTGCTATATAAATAATTAGCCCTTAATGCTTTTTGGGTCTTCATTTCTTTATGACAGCTTCCAGGCCAGGTATAAATTAAATTTTCCTTTGCTTCTTTTAATCTATTTTATGTTAATTTCATTTTTGGACCCAGTTGGACTCAAAGTTGGCAACCTTAGGAGATGGAGTCTTTCTGTCTCCACAACTACATCTTCTCAGGGTCTTTCAATATTTACTTTTTCTTAACTGTTGTTTAATACTCCCTTTGTATCTGCCTCATTAGTTTTTTTTCTGTTTTAGTTTAGTATATCATTTATACTCAGAGCTTCAATTGGCATATATTGGTGACCACATATATTTATATGTCTTGATTGATCTTTTCCACCATGCTCCAGATAATTCATTTTCAAACATGTTCTCAACATCTCCATATCGCTGTGCCACAGGTATCCCAAATATAACACGTCTAAAAATGAAGTCACAATCTTCTCTAAGATGTCCTTCTACTTTCCCAGCTCAGCTATGGCACATTAGCTGTCCTGATGCCAAGTCAGAATCTTGAAAATCATTCTGGATTCCTTTTGGTTCCTCATTGCCTTAAGGTCTCTTAAATGTCCTAATATTTAACATATGCTACAATCCAATCAATCCCTTAACATTTGGACTGCACTGTTGTCTAACCAATCCCTTTCCCCACTCAAATCCACTTCGTACACTGCTCAGACACAGTTGTGCAACACTGTGTGACAGGTGACTACTCTTCAAGCTCTGGTTGCTGCTTATCCTCCAAATTTTTTTTCTGCATTTCTCATCATAGACCTCAGTAATATAAAACATGCTTCACTTAAATGATTTAATCTCTTTGGAATTTTCTTCATGTGAACCAAGCATCTCTACTCTCCTTGTCTGGTGACTGTGTTTCTCCAAGTCTGGCTCTGTAGCCACTTTTCTTGTGAAAATGTAGTCTACTAGGGCTGGGGATTTAGCTCAGTGGTTTTGACGCCTGCTGCGCAAGTGCAAGGACCCAAGTTCGATCCCCCATACCAAAAAAAAAAAAATGTAGTCTAGTAAACCACTGTCAGGAATACGCCTTGTGCTCCACAACACCATGTGTGACTCCTGTCATAAAAATCATTAGCCAGTACCCCAACTTTCACTTGCTAGTCTCCTTTCAGCAATGTGTAACTCATCTACCCCTGACCTGGGACAATGTCGAATCCAACTGTGTCATCAAGGTCTATACCATATGTGGCATCGCTTCAGCTCTTAAGAAAGTTTTGTGGATGAGTGAATGAATGAATGAATCTAAGTTTACAAAATGCCATTCTCAATCAATAAGAGAGCCTCCCACGTAAACTATTATGCCTTAAAATGCTTGGTGATCTGTGATCTTTGAATGCATGTATTCTGTAATTTTCCTGCAGCATTTTATCCCCAGTATATTCCTGATATGGACTTGTTTCCTTTAAGGAAAAGAGTTTCATATGACTAACTGGTCAAACTCCAACTTTTCAATGACTGCTTAAAATTATAAAGGCACAGTACTTTCCTAAGGTTCTCTTTAAAGAATAATCTTGGGCTGGGGATTTAGCTCAGTGGTTTCACCGCCTGCTATGCAAGTGCAAGGACCCGAGTTTGATCCCCAGTACCAAAACAAAACAAAATAAAGAATAATCTTACTTGAAGCCAAGTATCATATAACTGAATTTAATATGATTTCTGTCACCCAAATTACTTTAGAGCCCTGATGGGAACAGGTATAAACAAGTTGGCAGAGTTCCTCCTTTTGATTCACCTCCATTGGCTTACCTTACCTCAAAGACAGTATTAGAAGACCTGTCAAGTTTCTGTATCCCAGAGAGAATATACAAGTAGGAAGTGACAGGAGGGTAGAAATCAAATCTCTACACCTAAAACAGGAAGAGTTTCATTGATTTAAGTCTAAAGGCTTTGTACATCCAAAGGTTGTCTTTTTATTATCATTAGTCCTTTTCAGATAGTCATCATAATTCCAGGTGCCCATATTAATTAGGACACAGAAACAGCTGTATATGTCTTTCCCTGTTTCCTTCTTACTTTAAAATTCTGAATTGATTTCCACAATTCCAAAAAATGTAATCACTGACATATGATTTATGGTTCTCCATCACTGTAGCCCTTATAAATACAGAGAAGGATAAAGTATAAAAATAAGCAAGCAAACAAATAATTAAATAAATTTCAGTGGTTTTGTTTCTTCATCGTGATGAGGTATTCATCTTTAGATGTGTGTAGCTACTTCTTAATTGACATTTTTCCTTCTCTATCTGACATAGGCTAGTTATAATAAAAATATTAGATACTGAATGTAGGGCTTTGGATTTTATATACATTGGCTCAAATTCTCACAGCTTTGTAGGTAAGATATTATTGACCTCGCTAGAGAGATGATGAAACTGAATGGGAGGCATCCAAATATCTCCTCCAAAACTGCACAGGCAGCCTCTGTCCTTAGATTTGCTATTCTGTGGACTCACAGTGATAGGACACATCTATGTAATTGTCTAGACTCAACCCCTAACTACATGCATTTGTTAAAATCTATTTTTCTATAGCCCATGACTTGAGCCATCATCCTGAACCTATAAGGTAGAAAGAAGTTATAATCATAGTTCTTTCACCATTTCCATAAATGTGTTAAAAAGATAAGTATGTAAGAGCATACACCATTAAGATGACCCACATGTAAATGGAAAAGGAAATAAGAGCAGTTGAACAGAAATCAGCATCAGCACCAATGGGGTGCTTCTAGAAATGGTAAGCAACAGCTACATGTTTTACTTAGGGACGTAAAACAAAAAACTGTAGTATTGATAATACAATCATGGTAAGACTATGGAAACTTTATTTCATCTGCCAAGCTCCCTCTATCATTTCAAAACACTATTTCTCTCCTGGCACACTGAGATAGTGATAATGACTCACCGCAGCTGGATTCATCTTCATTAAAGTGACAGTCAGCTATGCCATCACACAGGAGGAGAGACGGGATACACTGCTCTGCAGAGCACTGGAACTCCATGTCACCACAGAGCCGAGGAGAGGGCCTGAGGGGGCAGCCTATTTCATCAGAGCCATCTGCACAATCTTCGTGTCCATCACATGTCCCTGATGCAGGCACACACTGCAGTGTGTAGACACAAGCAAACTGATCAGCTCCACACAGCAAGGGATGCATTGTGGTAAGACCTACAAACAGAAAGTAAGTCACGCCATGTTGGCATTAGGAGAGTTTTCTCTCTGTGCAGTATTAAAATATCCTAGAACACATCTATTCTTACATGAACGCAGTTAGGAATTATGAATTCTATAAGACATGCTAATACCATTAGAGAGTATCCCTTATCTTAATCATGCAAACACCATTCTCAAAAAGGGTATCATTGATATGGAAACTAGTATTTTCAATTGAAGAAGAGATTTTTATTCTGGTACCTTAAATTTCTCCACTATTGCACAGTAATTAGTGTGTGGGAAAGGTACACTGATAATTTTAGATTTAAAAGGAATTATTACTATATCAATGCCATCTCTGAATGGCTCCCACCCAGGGAATCTGGCTCCTGAGACTCAGAACAGGGTGAGTTGCAGAAGTTGAGGGCTGCTACATGTTTTCCACATTGTGCTTCGCTCATAGACCTTGATTCCTACTCAAAGGCCCTGTGCTGTTATATGTAATGTAGAGCTAAATCGCAGTTTATTTTAAAATATTACATTCTGAGGAATCTTAAGAAAATATGGTTCAAACACAACCAACTCATTTTACGAATGAGGTCCACCAAGTCCACAAAGTTTAATTCAAAAATTCAATGCTAAGCTTTCATCACACAAACTCTTCTTTAGAAAACATTTGCATCTCCATCTAGTCAAGCCTAATAAAAAGCCAAGCATGATGAATGTTGACTAGCTGATATTTGTAGAGGTCAGAGAATGTAAGTGATTACAGAAGACTACACTAAATTGCCAGAACATTACTAGGGAGGCTGTTCTAATACTCTACTGCCTCTGAAATGGCTATCAATGGACTCATGAGAGTATTAAAGGAAAAAATAGAGCTACATAGCAATGGGGACACATTCAGAAATAGTTTGCTTTCTTTACAACTTAAAATCACCCTTGCCGGATGTGGTGGTAAGAGGAATTCCAGCTTCATAGGAGACTGAGTTATAAGGCTCACAAGCTCACAGTTAGCCAGTGAGATGCCATCTTAAATTAAAAAATGAAAAAGGCCGAGACATAGTCAGTGGGAAGCTCTGAGTTCAATTTCTAGTACTGCAGAACAAAAACAAACATACAACTGCTTTTTATTTCTAGATTTTATAAGAATAGTTTATTTTACACATAAAGATGGCATAGTGAATTTATTTTTAAAAATGAGATTTGAAAGTTGCCTTCCATGCCCACTCACCGAGTAGTGGAGATACAGTATATCTAGAAAGTACTTCGACTCTGATCTTATGACCAAAGCCAAGTACCTAAGAAATAGGTGGTCATGCTTTGGGAATTTGTATTCATGGAAACCACACATTTACGTGGAAAAGAGTAAACACATGACTGTAAGACATCCATAATCATGTTCTAATCTAATTGCTTGAGACCACAGCAGTATATATAGATGTTCCAGTGTACAAATTTTAAATTCAAACTTAGAAAGTAAAAGAGAATTACATTTTTATACCTTTAGTAAATCCTGAATTTTTATAGTTCTTTTAATACTTAACTATGGGCAAATAACCTATTTCTGTTTTCATTAAATTAATCTCACATTTAAGGAAGGGTAGACATTCTGAATTTTCTTTTCTTTTTCAAAAATACTGTATGCATTGACATTTCATCTATACTAACTCACCAAAAGTTCAAACCTTAATAAACCCTTGCATGTAATGACAATCTAGAATCAACTTTGCTACCATAACTGTTGCTTGTAAGTCTAAGGCGAGCGTGTTTGTTGCCCACTTGATTGGTGTGGGAGCCACCCAGGGATTACTAAAGCACACTTCTGGGTGTGTCTCCGTGGTTCAAAGAAGTCTGATCTTCAGGTCTTCATCTTGTCTCTTGGCCTTCCTCTCTGCTGTTGTTACTCTGGTCTGCTTTGTGGCCACTGTAAACTAAGAACTAAAGGGAGAACTAAGCAGCATGGCTCTACCATGCCCTTGCACTGTGATGTTTCTGCTTTTGAGCAGCTGACCATGGTCCGAACACTGAAATCATGGGTCAAATTAAACCTCTCCTCCTTTCAGTTGTGTGTGTTGAGTATTGTGCCCCAGCAATGGAAATCTAACACAGTAAGAGCCTAACATTAAAAAAATGGGAAGGTAATTTTCTTTATTCTATGACAAACACAGTTCTTTATGCTTCCCAGCCTCTATTCCCAGGGTTTTGTGTATGTGTCTGCATTTATGCTTTTCCTTACAATAGAAATGCAAAATAAAACTCTCTCCTTCACTTGAAGGTGGCAATTACACTGAATTTCAGAATCATTTTTATCTGAAAGTACTTAGAACTACTTGTTCCAGGCCCTTCTTTTCAAGGAAGCCAGGGATCTTGGACAGCCTGTAAGGACACTGTCTTGTGCTGCTGCGATTACCCCTTGCCTTTGGGATTAGGGTGTCCTCCTCCCACCTGCTGGGAGGAGGCGATGACAGCTCCCAGTTAAACCTAGTTCTAGTAATTGCTCTCCAAAGTTACATATCCTCCCAGGAGCAGCTGCCTTCATGTTTGGCGCATGGAGGTTAAGAGAGCTCAGGTGCTGTGCTTCAAAGTGCATCGGGCCGGTGGAGCTGCAGAGTTCCTCTTAGCATTGGCTGAAGCCCCTAAGGCACCTGCATCACAGCTCACCAATGCCTGCCCAATTCTGCCTCCTTTCCCATGTTGCAGAGGAAGTTCCTGGGAGAATTTCCAATAAACCCTTCTACACAGGAATCTGCCACAGAGTCAGCCTCCCAGGGAACCTGACCTAAAGTGCTATTCAACCATCAAAGTGTATCTTGTTGTACATTAAATCCCCTCTGAATTGCTTCTCCATTTTTCTCACTGAAATATTTCTGACATAGGAGGAACGTGGATTTTCGCTCCCAAGAGGAGTCTAGGTAGGTTCCTAGCTACAAGCAGTTTTCCTTTAGCTCAATATTTCACCCTTGTTATATCCTAATGAAAAATTCTGTATTTTACTGCACAGTATATTCGTGCCTTTTCAGTATAAATGACTTCCTCCAGTATTCAAATGTGTAAGTTTTTCCTTTGACGTGAATGCACTCTGCTGTGTGTATTTAAGAAGAACTGACAGGTAAGGAAATTTCTAAAAATTGCAATTTTGATGGATTTTTTTTTTTTACATGAGGGCCACTTTTGGAGTTACATAACTTTTAAAGGTAAAATCTCTCACTTTATGAAATGGGGAGAACATTAACTGTTCCTTGTATAGTGGGAAAAATCTCAACACTAACTTAAATTCATAACATTAAATGGAAGAAGACAATCTGAAAAGGCTACACACTATATGATTTCCACGACATGACCTTCTGGCAAAGGCAAGACCATGAAGACAGGATAAAGGTCAGCAGCTGCTGGGAGATGGGTAGGGCAGGAGGTGGGGGAAGAGGAATGAAGAAGTGAAGCACAGATTTGTACAGTAGTGAGACTGTCCTGTGTGACACTAAAATGGATACATGTTATCATACCTTTGTCTCAACCCAGAGAATAGAATTGTCAAACCAAGAGAAAGCCCTAATGGAAAAGATGGACTTTAGTTGATAACGATGTTAGAGTAGGTTCATCTCATCATTTGTAGCAAATATACTACTCTCTGGATACTGACATTTGGACAGGCTGTGTGTATGTGTGTGAGCGGTATATAGAAGTTTTCTATGCTTTCTGCATCATTTTATTTTGGTGTGAAAATAAAAATTCCATAATATATAACACACATCTATATCACACACAGTATTTTAATATACTGATATTGGTATATATAAATACCAATATTGCTGTTGAACTACACACACACACACACACACACACACACACACCTACCTCCTGGCTTAATGACCTACCTGTTTAATGACTATTCAGACTCATGATTGAGGTGCAATGTTTGGACTTACAACCTGCCCTTTTTTGTACAGTTCTGTATATCATGTTTATACTGCCTCATTGTCTTTTTTCTACAGTTCAGCTTGTTTATGTAGTACTGTATTGTTGCTGATTGTACTGTACAGCACAGAACTGTAGCTGTATGTTCTGTTATACATTATAGCACTGCAAGTAAGAGTTACGCAAATGAAAGTAAAGTCATCATGTTGGAGTTTTCATTGACAATTTCTTTGTTTTGAAAATTGTAATGTACACACTATATGCAATTCTTCATTTAGCAACCAATTCACTTAACAACCTAGTCCCAGGATGGAACTTGATCGTTAAAGGAGGATATATATACACACTAATATACCTTAGAGCCTACATTGAGGCTGTAACTCAAGTTTGGTTTATTTCTCTTAGAATTTCTCTCTTCTAATTTCTCCAAATCCCTTTTAAAATGTAGAATCCAACATTTAGAATCCACAACACTTTGATAAATGTAGGAGCATTGGCCAAACACATTGGTCCATTCGTCCACGTCCAGTCCAGTAAGCCGCTTAGCCAGGTTATTTAAAAGCAATGACCCTGAGATTCGAGCCCAGTGATTCCCAAAAGATATGGTGCTGGGTCAGCCCTGACTGTGCTACCTCCCTTGAAAATGCATGTTATTGTTCATTACATGAGAGAGCAACTCTGTGGGGGACGGTAACATTCTTAGCGCAAAACTGAAATTTACATCTGGAAAGCAACCTGAAACAGCAGTCTGTGCAGACAGTGTCCTTTTTGGCCCAAAGGAGTACATTTAAAATAGAAAGGATGAAGGAACATAGCAAAAAAGATAAGAGAGACTCTCAGAAATGTCAGTGGGACAGAGGACGAAGAAAAACACTCAAAAGATGTCAATTCATTTTGACATGATTTGTTAAGTATCTTAAGTGTGCCTGTTGTTTGTTTTGCTTTTTTAAGGTCAATATTTCTTAAGCTACATCTGATCATGGTCTCAGACAGTCCCAATGCAGAGGACAGGAAGAAGAGGCTCCCACAAAGGCTTAGCTTATTTGCTTTTGAGAAATGTTTCAAGTTAGCTGGAGCCAACAATAAAGCATATCTCA